AATGAACCTATGAGCGGTCCGGCTAATTCTAGTATTGACCCAGAATCTGAACTTCCACCTTCTCCTTCACTATCACCTCCACTCAATGACCCCAGAAGTGGGATAGCCAAATCAATTATAGATCCGGAATCCAAACTTCCATTTCCCCCTTCAGCCGCACCACTAACGTCACTATTAGTAGTGTTTTCATTTATTTCATTGTTATCACTACTGCCATAATCTTGGGCCTCTGTTGTTGCCGTTACTTCTACTCCATCGTTGGAGTTACTGTCATCAACTGATGGTCCGTCCACTTCATTTTCGTAATCATTGATGTTATAATCATCGCTTCTTTTTTTCGATGCCGCTCTCTTACTTCTGGCCAATACTACCAGTTTTTGTGACAGACTACGATTTGGATTTCTAATGTCATATTCAATGACATTACTGCTGATTTCGTCATAATAGTCTCCTATAACGTTCATCAGATCAGTATTGTTGTTGTATTCTTCTCGGTCGGCTCGCAAATGTTTCTCCTCCTATACATATACGTATAACAGGAAATATTTCACATATTTTATATTTTGTTAATATATAATAATTACTTCTACAGTGATGTTTATTACTACTAGTGGTATAAATATATTATACGATGGTAGTTGTGCTGGATTGCTGTAAATATACAAACACATATAAATATATATAATATTATGATTCATTTACGATGGTGTTATGGTGTAAGGTCAGTAATTCTCGTAGTGCTGTTGTTAAAATTTAACTTTTCAAATGTTTGAATATTACAATTTATGTTTTTGCTATCATCACTACATATAATATACATCATGTACTTATACAATTACATACATTACTGAAAAAACGCAAGTTGATGTAGGTATACAATACATACACATTTATAGATAATATTATTATTGACTACTATCTTATTCAACAAGGTAATCACTAAGTACTAATACCATAACTGTAAACAACGGTAAATAAAAATGTATCTTTTGTGTTTAAATTACATAAATACTAATATTAAGACTATTAATGCTGTCTACTTTTTTAAAAAATATTCATAAAAATATAAAAAATATTATACTGTGCTATTTCTGGTGCGATGGTTTATGTATTAACTAACTAATAAATTATATTTTCTAAGTTATTACAAAAATAAATACATATAATGTAGTGTATAATACTTTTACAAAATAATGAGGTACTTACGCTGCTACTGCCTATCAATGGTGCAATTAGTTGCAAAATGCTACTAGACCCCGAACCACCTGCCCCAGCGCCCTGTATAATAAAAAAATAAGAATAAATATTATAATATAATTATATTTTATATAATTTTAAAGTTCTATATATTTTATTCATGAAAAAAACTAACTGTATCATCATTTGCGGTATTTGCTGATGAGTCACCGCCACTCGACGAGCCGCTACCACTTGACGAACCGCTGCTACTGCCTAAAAGACCTGACAACAGGCTTAAGATATTAGAGCCTCCTGAACTTCCAGAGCTTCCACCACCACCATTCAAATTGTCTCCACCATCGCCGCCGTTACCCTGCCGTTTCATATACAAGTATGCAATCATTATCGTGGTACATAATATACACACAGTAACGTAATAAAATAAAATATTTATTAGAATAAACATACACCACTTCCACTACTGCTGCCCAACAAAGGGCCGAGGAGAGATAGTATGCTACCGAAATTGCTGCCTCCGGGTGTTGCACCAGCTGCTCCCTCCGAACCAGCTATATCTGGTCCACTTCCATCGGTTTTGCTTACATCTCCGCTTCCGGATGCGGATCCAGAAGATCCGGCGCTGACGCTCTGCAATTAATGTGCACATTAAAGCGAATTGATTTATACTTCGTTAGAGATTTTTAATAAAAGAAAAAGTTTGAAATTAAGTTTTAAAACTTACGCCACTGCTGCTACCCACTAGTGGGGCGACTAGATTGAGTACGGATCCACTACCACTGCCTGGGCTGCCACTACTTGGGCTTCCACTATCGGCCGCAGTTGAAGCTGCAGAAGCTTTTTCGTCTAACTACAATGTGATTGTTTGAATACATTCATTCAAATAAATTATACGTGTAGTATAAATTATATCGGTGTATATAACAGGGTAATTCAAATTGTACTGTTTTTTAATGTGTATATATAGATAAAGCTCTATATAATATGCATTAATACTACTTATGTGAGAGAGTATTGAAAAATGATTTAAAGTGCACGAAGAATACTTACTGATCCACTAGATGATGATCCACTTGATGATGATCCAGCAACAGTGCCACTGCTACTGCCCAATAGCCGAGTGATGACATCGATAGACCTGGCTCCCCGTGGTTGCTGCATTTGTTGACCATCGTTGGCCTACAACAATTTTTGTTTATAATTATCTATGAATAAATTATTAATTAAACGCAAATACATTATTATTTATTTATAGTGGAACTTTGCAATATGTTTATTTTTTTTTTTTTGTTTAATCAATTTACAATTTATTTGGGCTATTTTAGTTATAATTTCAAGATTGTTTGATTTGTTCAATTGTTTCCTAAAATATTTAAATAATTATTTTGAAATCATCAATATTTTACAAAAAAAATCGTAAAACCCGATAAAAATACTGCGAATCAATGATACATCTATTTTATTATAATCTGAATTCTGAGTGAAGTAAGATATTTTTGTGACAGGCAATTTCATGATATTGTCTGTTGAACATATAATGTAATTTTCTATTACACGGTTGACTTGAAAATTACATTGATTCTTAAAATTACTATGTTTTTACACAACTTTAGTTGTACTGCTTAGTTTATAGACATCACGATTTTAATAAATTTCTATTATAATATATTTAGAGAAAAAAAAAGGTTTCGATAAATGTTATTATTTCTTACGTTCCATAAAGAATATTAAAGTTAGTATTCCAACATTAATAATTTATTTGCTAACTATTTCTTAGTTCAATATATTAAGGATTTGAAAATATGGTAGTATAATGGAATATAACAGTGATATGCAATATTTAATATACAGTCGAGTTGCGATAACTCGAACCTCGAGAACTCGAATTGTGTTTTATTCCCTAGAAAATTCTTCCCCTATAAATTAGTTAGATATCTTGAATAATACATATCTCGAAGTGAATTTTTATCCCTCTTCAATTTCAAGTTATCGCGACTCGACTGTATAATTAAAATCGAAACTTTTGCTTTTAAACCATATTTTAGAATTTTGATAAGTTAATCAAATTAAATTTCAGTAATTATTTATAATAAAATAATCGAAAAATATTTTTGGCGACCCTATTAAATAAAGTTTTTTTATTTAATAAAGTCTAATAAATAAAGATTTTGTTTAAAAAATATACAAGTTTTATTACAAAATAACATATTTAAGAAATTAGAAATTATTTTATCAAGTACATACTGTATTTTAAGCTTATTTAAAAAATATTAATTTATTTTATCACTTTTATGTGCACTTCTATTTTTTTAAATTTATTTAAGTTAAACTCCATTAAAAATTAAAAATATATATGGATATTTCTTATTTCAATACAATTTAATACAATAATACTTATTTTATGTAATGATATGAATTTTTCGAATTCAATTAGTATATTTTATAATCGTAATATTGAAAACCATAACTAATGGAGTCCTCTCAATACAGAAACTGTAATCAGATATTTTTATCATCATAACTATATTAAATAGAAAAATTGTATTTATTTTAATGTTATATTAATGTCACTGTAAATCTTGAATTTTAATGAGAACCTTTCTTATAGAGTAACACATAATATAACAATAGAAAATATATGAATACATAAAACGTACGCATTTTTTTTATGTTTAATGTTTATTTTTACGGTAAATATACCTATGTATATCTTATGTCATTATTACATAAAATGTTGATGTACAAAACGTATTACTTTTTTTTTTTATTGTATTCTTTTTTTAGTTGTTTATACAGAAATATCTATGGTACTTTAATGTTTTTGCTCCGTAGTAATATAATAAATGTACATATTTATATATGAACGGGTTTCTGCAACATAACTTTTTATTAAATTTTAATTTGTTGGAAACAAATAAGTAGTAAATGTTAATGGTCTTTACTTTTTTTTTAACTAAACAGACAGACTTTAAAAGCAAAAAATTAACACAATCGATGTATTTTTGATTAAATATTCGAATGATGTAATTTATACGAGTATTTGATTCTGTCGTGTTAAATAAATTATATAATATATTATGTGGCTTATAATTTTAATAACATTTAAATTTTAATTTATCCAAAATAATATGTAGCTACATCTCACTAATGCAAATCTACAATTGCATGGCAAAATTCGATGTCGACCGAATTATTATACTTCGCGATTATTTCATAGTAGGAAGAGAAAATAAATTATATCATACATAACACGTGGGTGTGTTCGTTCGTTAAAGAAATGTTTCCAGACGTAAGCTAACCATTTTATTCGTCGAAAAAGTGTTGTACAAAAAATAAATATTTCATCATACGCTCAATATTCATAAACGATAAAATATTGTTCAGAAATTCGAGGACGCGATAATCATAATTCCTTTCATTTTTTACCAAATTTCTATTAATTGCCACTAATATTACTACTAAACGCTGCACATTATATCGTTATTGCACAACGTGTGCATGTGTCTGTTGAAGACATATTTCCCAATGTTATATCGGGCGCTAAGACGAAAACACATTTTTTTCGAATACGCATATTATTATTATTATTGTCATGTTTGATTTGTTGCGTAATCCGAATCTCGGTTATCCCATCAACAGGGATAGATGACGACAGCGATGACGGGCTCTGCGCGATGTGCGTGTGGTTAGACTACGGTTGTACAGGACGGGCGGAGGAAAGAACGCGAGGGACCCATGGCCACGGAGCGAGACGTTTTGACGGCGGATTACCGGCAACTGGTCGTCGTTTCGCCGCCGTCAAACCGCGGCAGCGAGAGCGATGTCGAGACTACGAGTGCCGCTTGCGTTTCGGTGAATGTGGGTCACCATCGATCTATAGACGGACGGCAAGGAACCTTGGGATCACCGTCCCGCCACCGTGGACCGCCGCCGTCACCATCACCGCGGACGTCATTGAACCACTTATACAGTGAGCGAACTGTTATAAAATATGGTGTCCCACCACCCTTCGCCCGTTAGTCCGCAATTTATCGACGAATGTAATATTTGCTATTATGTATCATGTAATAATAGGATTAATAATATATTTCGAACGTGCCCGTGTCGTTTTCATCGTCTTAGATGTAAATGAAAAAAATAAAATATATATATTTATATCGATAATTTGCAATTTACACGCCGATGTATTATGCTGATAATAATAATAATAATAATAATAAAGCTTAGAATATTATAACATCTCGTAATAAAGCGATTCCAATCACTGTTGCTGCAATGAAACAATGCGTTCTGCGGAGACAATCGAAACCGTCGCGTTTCAGAAGTAGTACCGAACGTACCTATTTATCATAATAATTACTCGCGTGTCAACGTTTTTATTTTTCATTTAAAATATCGACTGCGTTTTAAACGGTCGGTCTTAAACGTTTTCGTTGGCTACAGCCGTTTACATTCAAAGCGAATGATATTATAATGATATTTAGAAGTCATCTAGCGTAGTATAGTATCACACGTACCATCAATGCAAATATACGTATTATATATACATTGTTTACGACACCGTCGACGCGTACAGCGAGTACAGAAAAAAATTACGGTGTCCTCGGACAGTTGCAATAGTAATATTAACAACAATAATAATAATAATAATAATAATAATAATGACGATCATTACCCGCAACAGTTGTACTGGTGGATTCGGTCCGTCGGCGTTGAAATCTTCGCCGGCCGCGACCGCGACGACGAATAACATCGCCACTGCCGCGAAGCAGCGGCTCTTACTGCTGCCGATGGTCCTCATCGTTTACGACGGTTAATGCTAATGTGGGAAAAATAAAACGATATACGGCGCACGGAATGGTTTACAATCGCACGTTGGTGCGCGCGAAACGCCTACGCCGAGGGTATACTTACGACGACGGCGGCTGTGGCGGCGACTGGATGGATCGCGGGATGCCGCCCACAGCGTTCGAACGGTTGTGTTCTTGTCGCGGGTTCCCGTGTTGGTTATGTTTGAAAATCGTGTCGCGCAAATTAACGACGAAGAAACGAGTTCGCGATGTGTTCTTACTGGACGTGCGGTGATTTGAAAGTGATCTATAGACCGACGGTTGGATTGGTTTTTCGTTTTTACCGCAGCCGTTACTTGTTGCTGCTGCTGCTTGTTGCTGTTGCTGTCATCACGATACTGCGGGCTGACCACTGGTGCAGTCGCTGCCGTTGACCACCACGGGCAAACGTTGCGTACAGTCTCGGGGGGGCGTCGTCGCCGCCGTTTCGGGGATACGATACGATCTTATGATACATTAATATTGCGTTCGTTTTTTTCTCCCCTCGCACACTTCTGCCTCCGCCGCCCGCTGGAAAGTCGTCCCCGCCGCGTACTAATTAAGCTGCAGCTACTACTTTGATACCGCACGACGCGTCTGCTGCGCGCGATTGAGCAACGCACGCCGATTGCGAGACATCGCCGTGGCCTCCCGAGAGGATATTGGTCAATACCTGCGCGCCGCCGCTGTTGTTTCGATGACGACGACGGCGGTGAAGTTAATGTCACACATCGTCGTCGTCCAATGCGACTGCGTCCCTATGCTGTGCATTCGATTACCGTTGGACTTTTTGTACGCGTCGTCGGCTCATTCGTCATTGGTACCGCGGCCGACTGGCGGTGAATTATAATTTAACAAGTTGTTTTTTTTTTTAGTCAATACATTTTTGGGCGTCGACAACTGTTTTCGGTAGCATACAGCGTGACGCGAGTGTAACAGCGGAGCGAGCGCGTGCGATAGGGAGAGAGAGAGAGAGAGAGAGAGAGAGAGAGAGAGAGAGATACAGACATATAGACCGAGGGACGAAGGGATAGGGATATAAGGGTACGTAGTTACCTAATAGTGAAAGATTCACGTTTGACCAAATACACTGGTCGCGGACAAATCTTTTTGATTGATATTGTAATAAAATAACAATTGGAGACACGGTTTCGGTTATCAACATACTAATTGCGACTAATTGCGGACATAAAACTAATAAGCATCGTGTGAGTTACGAGCAATACCTAAAAAGATAATATACGAATTGCTGACAAATTTTTCTGACAAAATTATGACATAACAATTGCGGACGCAACTTGAAAATACTAAAATATAATTTAAGCAATTGTTATTTTTAAAAAAAATTTTATAAATGCACAAATCATTGGTTGTTTTCTCAGTTAGTCTAAGTCCTTCATATGTTTTTGTTATATTTAATATTTAAATTTATATGTCCAGTCTACACATTTTTTTATTGTTAAATTATTTTAAATTCTGTTTAATTTATAACTTTATTTTGTTACTTACTTAATGTAATGTGTTTTTCTAAATAATTAATTATCACTCTCTATATCTAACACAAGCTATTAGCTTAAAAGAGATAGATAATCATGTAAACTTATTACTATAATGATATTTATAAAATATTGTTCTTGGTTAATAAAAAATAACCGAGCAGTTGACAAAAATATTAAGTAATCGTTATTTTAAAAAAAGTATTTATAAAAATAGGGTCATCATAGAATTTAGGGGAAACATTTTCTTTGAAACCATTTGTACATATGTTAATCTGTTGATATTTTTCATACATGTTTTATCCGTAACTCACATGATCGCTATTAATTTTATGTGCACTATTAGTATGTTGATTGTACAACCGTATATTGTAACTGTTGATTGTATAACTATGTCCATAATTTGTATAGTTACCTTTTTAAATGTTGTCCGCAACTCACCACATGATTTTTATAAGTTGGTTCGCAATTTAAAATCTTCTAAACAACTCACTTATCATTTACGTTACACTAGTCACCTTTAAGATCTTCACTTAATAAATTAACTTATTGATGATTGTTAAAAATATGTATGCATTTGTAAGTTGGCTATGAAGAACTAACTTATTCAGCAATTGAATGACTACAACATATATGTATACAAAACTGCCAAACAATCAAGCTTTATATAACGTAAATATACATATATTATTATTAACTCTTAAATAATGCACCAAGTATTATAGTACTAAAGCGTTACATATATTTTGTGAATACAGTAAAAACCTGTATAGTATGGAAACGATCGGGACCGAATATTTTTTTCCATTTTAGACAGGTTTCCACTTATACAGGTCGGCAAAAAAAAGTTACAATAAATATTTTAATTTTATACACTCTTCTTTATTATTTATTACATTTTATTAACTTTTTTATTTTACATATATAGTTAAAAAATTATATACTTAAAAATTACAAAAAATTTGTATTTATGTACTTTTCTAAAATTCTTCTAATGCTTTTAAAACTTTCCAACCAGCCATTTGAGATGCTTTGAATACCGTGTGACATTTGTTTAAAAATTTTACGTGCTTTACTCTGTATGATTGGTCTAGAAATTGATAAGTTTTTTGCTCTAGTACTTTTGCGTTTGATTTTGGTTTTCTTTTCATCTACCCATTTCCTAAAATAAATGTTATATTATAAGCAGATTTATATCTTAAATATTCCATTAATTTATGAAGTTAAACTTATCATTCATTGTTCTTTTATGTCTTTTTTTTTTTTTTTTGCTTTAGTATATTATATTTTTCGATATTTGATAAGTTCAAAATTTGTTTTACTGATAATTTATCTTTTACGCTAGATTCAATTAATTTTAATTTTTCATTTAAAGTCAAACATTTATTGATTCTTGACGTACTGAGTTATGTTATAAAAAATAATAACAAGTAAATACAAAAGCATTATGCAGTCCGAGGTGAAATAAGTACAAAACAATTCTACAAGTTAGTACGAAAATATAAATGTAGTGCATCGAAATAATCCTAATGAATATAGATTATATATTAACTGATAATTTTCAAATAGGTATTTCAATGAAAAAACAGGTACATGACAAAAATATTTTTTCCATTTTAGACAAGTTCCATCTTAATCAGAGTATGATGTATTTAAAAATGTATAAGAGTCACCGGGAACGAATAATTTTTTTATAAGAGATAGGTTTTACTGTAGCTGTTTTTTTTCTCTCCAGAATACATTATAAAATAATTATAAATTAAATAAAAAAAATAAAAAATAAATAAAAAATCTAAAACTGAATATGAGACATATGGGGCCGAATGTAGATTAGCAATAATTGACTACCTATTTTCCTAATGTTCGGTATAGTGAATAATATTGTCACTTTTCACGGGTGGATGTGATGACAATGGTTAGTGTATGATACTCGTGCTCTATTTGATGCGTGTCTCTACTATAAGTGACAGCGGCGAGTGCAGTGTATATTCTAATTAATTTGGTGCGGCAGCGTCGGTGGTAGAGTACGCAGAAGAGAGAGGACGCGCGGCGGACGACAACCGCAGGAGAATGCGGAGACCTTGTACCTATTTTTGTTTCGTATATTTACTTTTATTCTCGTCGCCGAGTTAATGACGATGACGATGATTTCGTTATTAGAACGCGCGCGAATTAATTAACGCATTAAGATAATATTTCGTTTGCGGCCGCCTCATTTAGTTGTATTTTTCTAGTATTCATCAACGTCTTAAAAATATTATAAAGTATAACCTGTACCTTCTTCGTTTCCTATCTCATTATCCCAAACCGTACCGCAACCGTTACCGTCAACATGGTCGTTTGGCCGTCCGGCGTAAGGCCACCATCAACACCATCACGCCGTACGCAACGATACTTCTGATGTTAAAAGAATCACTTCGAATGCTCTTTAAACATTTTGTGCGAGCGGTTGGTGCATCCGTCAACGAAACGCGCAGTGCGCACGGTTTCGTGTTCACGTGCGCACGGTCCGTCGTCACTCGATCTCTGGGATTTGATATACTTGGACACGATGATCGTATCCGAAATTATAAAAAAAAAAATAGTCACGGTACACCGTGCGCATGCAGATTATTACGCTCTATTACGCGGGCGATTCGAATAATTTTAGAACACCGTACGGCGGCACACACGATAAATTGCCGACATCCTTTTCGTAATATTTGACGATTAGAAATTTGCGACTGTTATAATATGACTTATAATATGATGTTCGCTACACACACACACGCACGCGACGACTAATAATAACAATAATACGCCGTCTGCACGTCTTTCACGCGAGACGGCGATGCGGCCGACGACAAAATATCGTTACGGCCGCGTACTTATTGAAATATATCGTAACGGGCAACATTTCATGTGAATCCGCCGCCGCTAGCGCGTAAAAAAAAAAAAAATAAGGAAAATAAAATAAAACGTATTATTTTGTACCATCGTAGTGGTATTGTGCAGCACTCTGTGCGCCGGTCTGCTGCACGCGGCATCTGTGCTCGCGCGACGGTTGAATACGATATTTCGTATTCTTACACGGGCACACGCGCGTAGCGATGGTGCTCGGAACACGCCCCCGGTGATTCGCGTACGGCCACGGCCGTCGCGTTGTACGTGTCGTCGCACGTAACAATGACGATATGTCATCGCGCTCCCGCGAAAAAGTCGATCGCGCCCTCGACGATTACCGACCCGACCGAGCCGAGCACATCGTGACGTTACCGGTGTCCGTCGGAAGAGGGACGTCCGAGTGGCGCGCGGCGTCCCCGAGCCGTGTTCGACAGCGGTCGCCGAAATAAAACCGTTTGGGCTATGGTTACTAAAAATGGATGTGAATGGATGTGAATTATGGATGTGAATTTTGATGAAAATGTATTCTGACGAGTACGTTCGAAATCCTCGTCAGAACACAAGATGGTTACACTGTGCGAGTTTTCTAATATTCTGACGATCAGTACGTTTTTGCCTCCCAGCAAAGATGGACGAACTTGATGAATTTTATGTTCTCGAAAGTCCGTTAATGAAGTTATCATTGTTAAATGGTGGAAAAACAGAGCAAGTTAACCAGTTATTTTTTAGAAGAGACGAAAAAATATCTCTGTTGTGATAATTTTTTTCTCTCGTGTCCCACAAACACCTGTTCTCGTACACGAGACTGATTAATTTATCGGAATTCATGATTCAAATCAATTAATATATTAATAAATTGTATAATAATTGTGAAATATCAAATTTGCTAATCTCAATCACATCGAAATAGACGCAGTTCACACGAAAAAATCAAACTTGTTTGAACGCTCAACTGTTTCTGACGATATCGTGTATGTTCTGACGTGATCGTTGCTGCCAATGTAAACACTCATTGGAAAATACGATTTTGTTTGTTTGGACGAATTCGTCAGAACTCGTCAGAACACATTTTCGTCAGAATTCGCATCCAAAGAAACCATAACCTTACGCGCATAATCATAATTACTACGAACGCGGCCGTAGCGTTTCGTACGCAGCATTTCTGCGGTTTACATCAATAATGTCAATCGTCGCACGGTGCATGCGTTTGTCCCGTAAAAGGCTCCGGCAAAATTGTTATCA